GTGACAGGCACCACCCTGGGCAGTGCGATCGCAGACATACGGCTGCACAACATGCAGGTGGGCCGACACGGCACGCGTGCAGCCCTGGACGGCCCCGCGCGGGGGCCGCGGCGACGCCAGGCCCCGAACGAGTCCGTACAGCAGACATGCCCAAGCAAAGGGCCGCAGCTTGAGAGAAAGTTTTCGCGCGCTGCGGCAGTCTGCGTACTTGGCTGTGCATTGTCTCTGCAGCTCGGTCGGCCCCAACCAAACCGTCGTGTTCCCTGGGTACCTGTCCGGCCACCCAGCTTGCAAACTCACGTCTATTCATATGCGTCTCTTCGGCCGCCTCAATCCACTGACAGCTGCCACTGGTCTCCATGCTCCTCCACCCTACGAACGACCCCCCCTCCTCCCCCGTGTGACTCTCACCCCAGGTGTGTCACGTGCAGCTGGACCCCCTGCAGGTGACGCAGGTGGCTCGGCTGGACCTGTCAGACTTCCAGGCCGCCATAGTGCTCTGCGATGGTGGGTGGTGTGAGCGCGCGCGCGTGTGTGTGTGAATGTGTGTGTGTGTGTGTGTGTGCATGTGTGTGTGTGTGTGTGTGCGCGCGCGCGCATGCATGCGCGCTTACGTCGGTGCATGCGTGCGCGCGCGCTCACGCGCGCATGCGCACGTGCACACATTTTCGTGCGTGTGGGCGTGTGCATGTGCGCGCGAGCATGTGAATGAATGCGAGCGTGGGCGTGAGTGTACCATCATGTGTCTGCGTCTGGGGACGGCGTGGGCTTGGGCCTGGAACTGTCAAGTGCTGGCCTGTTGCAACCGACGGCAGCAGCAAATTTGCAAGCATGCAAGGCAGGCGTGGTGGATTATGTCAAGCTTTGGTCGCCAGTGTCTTTGTGCAACTGCTCCACCATTGACAAGCATCAGGCGCCGGTGGGGGCTCTGGGTTTGAGGAAGGACATACCCACGCAAGTTGGGCTGCGCCCTGGCCGCCACAAATGCCCACCCCAATGTCACCCACCCACCCGCAGAGGGGTGGGTTGAGGACGGCGACGCGGGCGGGGGCGGCCCTGAGGGGCGGCCGGAGGGCAGTGAGCACGCGACAGACCAGCCGGGGGTGCTGCGGCTGGACTCCTTAGTCATGATGGTGCAGGTGGGGCCGGGCGCGCCTGAGGACGTGTCAAGGCGCGAGCGTGTGGGAATGTATGTGCGCATTTTGCAGCGTGTGTGGGGCGGCGGCGAGCTGGATTATGCTGTGTTGCAAGTGGGTGAGTCAGACGCGGGGTATCGGGGATGCTTGTCGAATATGGCCCCAGGGTCGAGGTGCTCACAACAGCAGGTGAGGGTTGAGACAAGCGAGCGTGGAGGTAGGGTGCGCATCGCTGCGCGAGGGCAGCGCGGCCTTTGTTTGCTCACATAACACCGCCATCCGGAAACCTGATTTCCGGTCTTGATCCCTTTTATCAAACCCGGCTTGATCGAGCCCCTGCCCCCACCTCTTCCTCACCTCCTGATACTCTCCCATCACTCACCCACACGAACCCACATCACACACACACACACACATACACAAACACACACACACACGCATACACACACACAACACCACACATACACGCGCCCATGCGCAGCTCAACATCCGCAAGTGCCTGGCGGACCGCGGCCTGCCCCCCATCAACATCATCTGCCAAAAGGTGGGGGGGGGGGACGAGGCATGCCTGCCCTATGACCGCGGGGTGCGTGGGGTGACCCGTGACTCGCGCGTGATACACTCGCGCCAAAATCACGAGTGTATAATATCCATACTCCTGCTCATTACACCAAGCTCCCCTTCTTACATGATCTGAATTCTGGCGGCGGCTGTGTCGCGCTTGGTTTGCCTCCCCTGGCGGGGCCCCCTGGTGCAGGACCCTCCCCCAAACGCCGAAACGCACATCTCGCGCGCGCCCGTCACCCCACCCCGCGCGCGCGCACCCAGGTCGCCACCGCGGGCCTGACGCGCTTTGAGGACCGCCACCGCCTGCCCCTGGGCATCAGCGTGAACTTCGCAGCCTTCGCCGCCAACATGCTCGCCATCGTGAGACACGGCCCCCGGGAGGAGTTTTGGGG